AGATCTGCGTTTGCTGCACAGCTGGCCGTTCACGTTGCAGGAGCCCAAGCGAGGCTGCCCACAAGAGCACGGGGCGGGGTGGGGACACTCGCAACACACGAGCAAGGTGCTGGGCTGGTGTCTTCCTCCCAGGCGTCTCTGCCTGAGCCGTGGCTGTGGTGGACCCGAGACCCGGACAAAGCGAGCCGATGTGCATCACGGATGGCAGTGGAAGGCCTGGACTGTGGACATAGGCAGGTACCAATGCAGGGGGGTCGGTGCTGGCCATGTCACCCGCACAGTGAGAGCATCAGTCACAGAGCCCAAGAGAGCAGCAAGTGTCACCGTGAGGATGTGGACACAGAAGAACTGCCACGAGCCCCGCCAGAGAAGGAATGGGGCCCGCTGCCGGGGCCTCCTAAGAACAGAGGAAGAGTTCTCACAAAGCAATGGGACAAGTTCCCTGTGGAACAGAGACAACGTTCGCGCAGAGCCACCTCAGGCCAGAACCAGAGGATGGCACCACGGAGCCCGGTGGGAGCAGCCAAGGGGCTCCAGTAAGACCACAGCAATTAACAGCCACAAAACCAAAGTTTCTTCAGGAAAAATGCAGGAAAAGGAACATCCTCAGGAGACAAGGCCTACACAGGGTACGGACCCCACAACTACGGACAAGAACGCGGCCTGTCATTTCCCTCCCAGCCGCCTCGTGCACACGTGGGCAGCTCGTTCTCCCGCACACGCTCTCCTTCTACCCAACTCCATCTGTTTTGCTACAGAGAAACTTCACAGATCCGGTCTGCCACCAAGGGAATGTTCGCTTTCCTACTTCAGACTTCTCCAGAGAGCTCAGCGACAGACCTGGCTAAAGACTCTCGCTTCCCCTGCTGTCTAACACGGCGGGCGCAGAGCTCTGCTGTGCCACGCGTGGGCACTGACTGCTCAGATGTTGCTACAATGAGGGCAAAGGGGCAAACACCCCCAACCGTGGCCGAGTTAGCAGCTGAAGGAGCTAGAATCTAGCTCTTGGATGGTGCAGAAGATGAGAAGATGAGACAGAGCAAGTGGGAAAGAAGATTCTAGTCCACAGAGAAGGAGCACCGCAGCCAAACCCCAGCCGGTGGAGTGAGGCTGCTCATCATCCCACGTCACTCATGTTCTTGAGGCAAACCAGTGATTTATCTGTTCAAACTGTATACAGCCTGCAGTTGTCAGTCCTCACTGGAGGAACATTAAAACTTTAAAATATACCTTATATTTTTACTGTCTTGTATGCAATCTCATCTATCCATCCATGCTCACAATCACCTACCCAGCTATCCACCCACTCCCATTCACCCAGCTCCCACCCATCCCTCCATCCATCTCTCCATCTGTCCATCTTACCATCCGTCCACCCATCCATCATCTGTCCATCCATCTCTCCATCCATCCATCCATCCATCCATCCATCCATCCATCCACCCACGACAAGTTAGCATTTTACTCTCAAGGTCAATTGATGGAGAAGGTGGGGCTGGATTTAAAGATCCTTCTACTATAGTGGTCCCCATGTCTGATTCTTAGAGCAGTGTCATCTGCAGTACCTAAGAACTTAAAAATGCAGTTGCTCAGACCCCACCCCACACTTCCTGAATCAGAAACTCTGAGGGTGGGGTGCAGCCTGTGTCTCAACAAGCCCTCAAGGTGATTTGGATGTGTGCTCTAGGACCACCGTTCTGCATTCTTCAGATGCTGAAATCAACTAGATGTACGGCATTTCTCCCTCAAATGTCTCTTCTTTTTCACCAATTAATGCAAATCTAAAGAGAAACCCAAAACAGATGGAAAAGCTGGGAAGGGAGCCCTAGCACACAGAAGGGGCTTTTGCAGTGGGAAGAGCCCTGGCCCTGTTACTAAAGACCGGGTTCAGAAGAGTACACAAAATGTGAATTCTCAAGGCCAAGTGAGACAGATCCACTGACATATGGATAGCATGCATCACGCTCCTGTACATGCAGATTAGCCTAGATAAGCTTCTAGGGTAATGGCTGGAAGCAACGTACAAACCAGAAATTAAAACAAGGCAGCAGCGTGCCCTGCACAGCAGAGAAAGAAGAAATGCCCGTGGGTTCAGGGTGGAGCCACAGAGACTCAAGCTATGTACAGCTGAAATAGGCATGCGGCACTAAGGACGGCCACTGACCCGTGGCTATGATCAATTCCTGCAGGGGTCAGGCCTCTGCCCTGACCAACCGCACTAGCTACCAGATCAGTGTCCAGGTGCCAGCAGCCCACTCCTGCCGCAAATGCTCCCACAGCCCTGGGGGCACAAACAACTCTGGCCTCGAGTTAAAAGCCATTCTGCTACATATGGGGGACTCTTCTGAGGAACTGCTTGGAACTAAAGCCTGCATGGGTGATGAGGCTGACCTTGACCTATGTCCTTTTCTCACCAGGGAACGTGCAACATGCTCCTACAGTCTGTGGCTGGCATGTTGTCAACACTGTGGCATACATAACCCTCCCATCATGGTTTTACAGACCCAGACCTAAAGACTCGCCCCCATTCGCTGGTGCCTCCCTCCCACACAGCAAGAGTGGAAATGCTTCAGTGCCGCAGGAGGACGCCTGTGCTACCGGGCGAGCGAGGGCAGACGCAGGCGCCCCCCTCACTGAACAACGTGGGACGGCCTTGAACATGGGCGTCTCGGTGAGTGGCAACTGNCCCCCCTCACTGAACAACGTGGGACGGCCTTGAACATGGGCGTCTCGGTGAGTGGCAACTGTTAGTGACAGCACAGGTGTGTGAGGGCACACATGGCTGAGACGCTGCTTACAATGAGAGAACTGCCAGCACAAAGGGCCTGGGGCCACGCCCGGCGGGCCCACACCTTCAGTGAGTGGTCAGCGTCACTCCTGCGCTTCCGAGACAGCCTCCTTACAATTTAAAGGGCACAGGTGTCTTTCAGGGCTCATGCAGAAGTCTGTTTCCAAGAACCTGGGGAATGACATCACTCTTTGGAGCAGTTCCCACCGAGCCCAGTGCAGGGGCACGGGGAACGAGGACTCCCCTGTGAATCCAGAGGCCCACGGCGCCCTTCACCCCGTGCCAAACCCTGCACCCCGCAAAGCTCGACTCAAGGTTCAGAAGGGAGGGGGATCTCTAAGAAGAAAGAGACGGGTGGCATAAAATGGCTTTATTTGCTTTTGACCCATATATGATAAACCCAGTTTATTAATCAGTTGTCTTAATCAGTTGTCTTAATCACAAAAAAATCATTAAAAACTAAATGTCTTCAAAGTCTTGCTTAGACCACCCCACACAACGATGTTTATGCTGATTTAATCATCGGCTCATTCTCAAAATGAATTGGGGAGGGGGGGAGAGACCACACCCAAAGCAAATAACTGGCAGAATTTTAATCTCCCAGGAAAATATTACTCAGACAAGGAGGCAGTGGTGCACATAACATGACACACGGCAACATCGGGCAAAAATCCGGCAACTTACTTTTAATGGCATGTCATTATTTCCTCTTCGTTTCAAGGAAAGCTAGTTACTGCTGACTGTGTCCTTCTGCATAACGCAGCACGACAACGCAGACGTGTGCGACAGGACACAGCCCTCAGCTCGCGTCTGCTGAAACCTGCACGTACCGACTTGAACTGTCCTTCCATGCTCATTTTAAGTCACCTTTCAATTAACACAGAAAATGAATACCTAGTTGTGCTATTCTTCCACTCTACCCGTTCTCAAACGTTTGTCTTAGGTTTAAATTACAATTGGCGGAGAAAGAACCCCCTGACTCATCTGGATCTTCCTCCTCACAATGAGCTCCTGACA